CTTGATTGCCCACTAAAGTCAATTAATGCCTGCATACGTAATGCAGATCTGTGTCGAGTAAATGGCTGGGCTACTGATAATGGCCTGCTATTGAATCCGAGCAAGTCCCAGTGCATTACAATTTACAAAAAACACTTTAAGCTAGACAATTATTCAAAAGTAATATTAGGCAATTTGGTAATAAATGTCGTTGATGCAGCCAAAAACCTGGGCGTGACTTTCAACAGAACATTGACATGGAAGAACCACATTTTTACAGTTATAGGCAAAGTGTATGGAATGTTGCGCTCCTTATGGACTACCCAGTACTTTACACCAATTAAAATTAGACTGCTTTTAGCCAAGACATATTTGCTTCCAACCATGCTCTATGGTTGCGAACTGTATGCTAATTGCGATACAACGTGCAACAGAAAGCTCAATGTCTAATTTAATAATATTGCCCGATATATTTTTGGTATTAAGCGCAGAGATCACATCTCCGAACATGCTATAAAAATATATTCAATCTCCTTTAATAACTATTTTAAACTCAAGACTCTAACACAATTACATAAAATATTGGTAAACCAGGATCCTTCTTACCTCTACGAACGATTTCAAGCAACTCGATCAGCGCGTTCCTCGCAGTTGCTTTATACGACCTTTAATTCCAAAATATCTGAGCGTCATATTTTTGTGTATGCAGTCCGTCTATGGAATACTTTACCTTTGGAGATCAGGGGCGAAAAAAGCACATTGCACTTCAGAAGGGAACTAATGCGATTCTTTACAGAATGATTATTCAAGAGTGTACATATATCATCTGTCAGTTACTACTTTATTCATCTCTGATCTTTCACAACCTTTTCCTTTTTATCAATTCAGTCATTTCTCCCTATTAAATACAGTATATTTTGCTTAGCTGCCCAATCTTGTTTGCACAAAAAATTTGGGTACTTATCCGAAAAATGCACTTAAGCGAATTTTCTTAACTACCTCAAAAAGGCAGGTATCCGAATCTTTATAAATTAAGAAAATACAAATGGCACTTGTCACGTAGAAATTACTGCAATCGAAGTTTTATCAATCATCACGTTTATTAAAAAGAAAACGAAAAAACAATCCACTGCAAAAAACAATTCATAGATCGAAAAACCATACATAAAAAAAATAACGTACAAAATATTATTATGTACCAACATAAAATGTAAAGCATATTTTTTATGTTTCCTTAAACTCACAAAATTAAAGATTACTTAAAATAATCAGTAACTTTTCTCTGGCTAGGGGTTTGTAGAGATAGCTGCAATAATTGCTTTTCAATGCTGTACAACATGTTTGCAGATTCAGCACCTTTAAATGCACAAAAACGCTGAATAGTATCTAACGCGCAAAGCGCTTCTTTTAAACTTGGAACGTTATCAAGTTCAGCAAAATTATGATTTTCTTCAACTTCAGAATTACTGTTGCATTCATTTTCAGTATCAAGCAATTGTTGGATAATTTCGTCTTCCGTGAGCTCACCATAGCACTGCAATTCATCATCACAGGGCACGTATTCTGTGAAATTTGGCACTTGATCAAGAAATGTGACTTCCGTTTCCCCCTCTTCATCTTGGTCAGCTTCATTAGCCACATCGAAGCCCGCCTGAAAAGATTCATTTCGAGATTCATTAAATTTGTTGATCTCATGTATCTTTTTAATTTTTCACCTTTTGAAAGCAGTTTTGTATTGTTTGTGGCGTCACCAGCCACCAGGATCGCTTAATGTAGTATAGAGCATCCAAAATTGAAATTGATTTCAAATATTCTTTTACGGTAAACTCTCTCTCTATTGCAGCTAATTGCTTTTGCACTAGTATGTTTCTATACTGGCATTTGAATGCGTGAATAATTCCCTGATCGAGGGGCTGAATAAGCGCAGTTGTATTTGGAGGCAAAAATTCTATTTTAATATTTCGCAATTCACATGTAGTTTTGTGGCATGCCGCATTATCCGCTAATAAAATAATTTTTCTGTCTTTTTTCTTTTCGATTTCCCGATCTAAGGAAATCAAAATTTGGTTCCATAAATCAATAGTCATCCAGGCTTTCTGATTCGAGTAATATGGCAAAGGAATATTTACATTTCGAAAACATCGAGGTTGCTTAGACTTCCCAACAACATACGCTTTTTTGAAACTTCCCGTTGAATTGCATACAAACAACAAAGTGAGACGTGCCTTTTGACTTTTGTTACCTTTTGGTTCGTCACCCTTTTCAAAAAACGATGATGAAGGCAAAACTTAAAAAAATAGGCCTATCTCGTCGGCATTAAAGATATCTTCTGCATCATAACCTTTTAAAATATTTGGCAGAATGCTGCTTGTATAGCAGGAAGCACCTTCTAAGTCGTTGTCGTTAACTTCCCCTTGAATTCTACCGAATTTAATGTTGTGCCGCTTTCGCCATCTCCAAAGCCAACTCGAATAAGGATCAAATTCATCATTTAATTTTGTTGCAAACTGCTTTGCCTTATTCAACAAGATCAGACTTGAAATCACTGCACCCTTTTCCCTATTTTGGTCAAACCAATGCTTAAGAGCTGCTTGAACTTTTTCGTGCACACCTTTTCGTTGCCGTTTGCGCTGTAGATTGCCATCATTGGCAAGACACTTGATTTCAGCTGCATTTCGTAAAATTATGTTGATTGTAGATATATCGCACTTATATTTTTTACAAAGATCTTTTTTGTTCGCATTTTTTGCAACTAATTCTATGATCTTAACTTTCTGCACAATAGATAAACCAATCAAATGTCTTCCCATCTTTAAACATACAAAATGTAAACACTTAGCGGTGTGCGTATGAGCACGTAAAGTCGATTGAAACACATGTGTAAATCGATGGGAAACATTATGGTTCGTTTAGATGCAGTGCAGGTTAATTGCATATTTTTTTTGAAAACTGATAATAATTGCACAATATTTAAAGCAGATATCGTGAATGTGCAGGTATGTAGAATGCAGCTAAGAGAGTAGTTTCCTTACAAATGTTAACAATAATGCCGCTGAAGCTTATTTTGGGGTGGTTATATTAAATGTGCAGCTAAGCGTAAAGACAGCAAAGCAAAATATATTGTATTTCCTTTCCCTGGCTTTATAATTTTTTAATGTTATTATTACCCTCTAGTTATGTAAGTCATTTATGTATTTGCGTATAAAATAACGTTCCTATAAACAGGTCATTAAATATTTTTCCATTCGGTTAAATGTTATATATTAATTAAGTAGCAAACACTCGAAATATAACTCATGGTTTTTGTATTACAATAAAATAAATAAAAATAAAATAAAATGAATGTTAATAACATAACAAAGGTGGTTAAAAGTGGTTAACGCCAGGGTGGGCAATGAAGGCATTTTTGGTCCAACAGTCGAACAATCCAGCCTTCATGACAATACCTCTGGCAACGGAGAGGGGCTGATCGACTTTTCTGCGGCACGGAACATGGTAGTTATTAGTATTAGACACCAGCATCGAAACATCCATAAAGCCACTTGGGTGTCCCCTGATCAAAGAACGAGGAACCAAAAAGAGCATGCTGTGATAGACGGAATATATACTTCGAGCGTTCTAGATCTGTGTTCTATCCGAGGAGCTAATATCGACTCGGATCACCACCTTGTTGCAGCCAAGGTCCGCATGCGCCTATATGCAATGAAGAACGTGCGACAGGCAGCGCAACGAAAGTTCGACGTCGAGAAGCTGCATTCACAAGCCGAAAAATTTCGCAATCGACTCTCAATCCTGCTTAAACAAGAAACTCTTCAACGACCGGATATAAATGAGCAATGGGAATCCATCTCCCAATCACTTCGTGCCGCTGTGGAAGAGGTAGTGGGATGCTAATGCCCGCGCAGGAGCTACTAGTATGAAGGTATTGGCCCAATGCACGCTTGCTTTGCTTGCTTGGCTTTGAGAACTGTCAAACAATTTTTAAAATCTACTAAAATGTATGAAAGTTGGCCTAGTGGCAGCTTTACTTCACTTGCTTGAAGCGCTTTAAAGTATCGATTAGCCGAAATCTCTATTTGACAGCGCGCTGTAGGCTTTTGACAACTCTTGACATTTCAATTTTTCGCGTCGATTTTGCTTGTGTGCAGTTTTTATCGCGTTCTTCATCAATTTTAGGTAAAATAATTTATATTAAACAATTATTTGTTGCTAACAACATTATTTTTTCAGATACCTTGCTTTTTATCGTTCCGGCCACCAGATTCGTT